AATTTATATTCAGCCTTTCTCCCAAAAACTATACACAAGGTGGCTTAACAGGGAACTTGAATACAAGAAGAAAAATCAAGTTCATCATAAAAGGTCTGCTTGATGTAACAGTTTCCTTGTGAATTTGGTTAATGGTTATTTATAATTTTGAGAAACCTGCTCAAATTCACCATGATGGTTCTCTGTCTGTACTAGCTTGAATGTATTTATGTACAAATAGATCCCAAGTGGACCTATCTAATCAAAGCAAATCTTACTGTTACTGGTTCTAGAAGATAACTTCTGAAGTTTTTTCCATAGCTGTAAAGAAAATAACCTAATTGAACTTTGTATGTAGTGGAACCTGTAGGTAATTTTATCCTGTTTGATACCTGTGGTATCTAGTATAAAATGAATGCTTAGCTTTGCTAATGTCAGGAGCTTTATGTCTGTTATTACTTCTAATGCAGCTTAAGAGTTTCACTTTCCAATTACAATTTAAACAAGTTTATTGTCATTGTAAGTATATACATAGTATACATATACAGTGGTACCTCGACTTACGATCATAATCCGTTTCAGAAGAGGGGCGTAACTCAAAATGGTCGTAAGTTGACGCATCATGTCCCATAGGAATACATTGAAACCCCATTAATCCGTTCCGGCTGGAAAATAAAAATAAAACACTGCAAGCCCTATAGGAACGGGCTGGGGCTGAAAAACAAACACACCAAAACAAAACAAAAAAACACAGCCAGCCCCAGCGAACGCCAAGGGGCTAGGGGGGAAATGACAACCCGCCACACACACAGCCATCCCCAGCAGAACGCCATGGAGCTGGAGGAAAAAAGACAAAAAAACCCCCACACACAGCCAGCCCCAGCGAAATGCCATGGGGCTGGGGGGGGAAAGACAACCCCACACACACACAGCCAGCCCCAGTGAAACCTCAGCATCATCAGTAGATCTATTTCTCCTGTATGCAAATTATCATGGGTCCAAAGAAGGTGGAAGACTAGACTAGCCTAAGAAGGTGGAAGACTAGCCTTAATGTAATCCAGACCAATTTCTCAAAGCATTTCATAATAACAGATGTTAAAGCTACTGGTCTATAATCATTGAGAGATACCACAGCTGACTGCTTGGGGACTGGCACTATAATAGATGTCTTCAGGCAAGTGGGGACAGAACACTGCAACAAGGATAGACTGAAAATATTTGCAAAAACTCCAGCTAATTCTTCAGTGCAGCCCCTAACAACTCATCCCATGATTCCATCTGGTCCAGCTGCCTTTCAAACGTTAATATTCTGGAAAGCACGTCTCACATCTGAAAACTGCAGTAGTAGTGGTTATCTGTCGATGGTAGATTCTAGGTATGTACTATAGATAGTAGATGCTGGAATAATGGTTGTTCCTGTTTCCACCTCAAAATGGCTGAAAATTTGATTTAACTGCTCAGCCAAAAGAATCACTGCTGGTAAACAGTTTTTGTTACTCTGCCCCGTGATTTGTCGCAGGCCATGCCATACCTGATGAGTGTTTAGCCGCCGGGCTCAGCTCTTGCAGACTTACACCCATGGTCCATCTCATATTTGGTCTTCTTTTTCCTGCTGCTTTCCCACATTTTACTGCTTCTAATTTGAGTTATTGATTTAATTGCCCATCCCATTGTGTCTGCCTTCCTTCCAAAGTTGCTTAAATTCACCAACAGGAGAGCCTTTGTAGTTGTGACATGCTCTTTCCAAAATGTTCTGCTTTCTTCTGGCACTAAGTAAAGATCTCAATTGTGGGGTTCCACAGGAGTCGATTATCTCCCCAATGCTGTTTAACATCTATATGAGGCCGCTAGGTGGGGTCATCAGGGGATGTGGAGCATCGTGTCATCAATATATTCCGGCCGCAAGTGCCAGCAGTGTAACTTGAAACTTTAGAATTTCTTTAAAAATAAAAAATTGCACTGGGCCGCATTATGAGCCAACCTGGGCCGCATGCGGCCCTCGGGCCGCAGGTTGGACAAGCCTGCTGTAGCACATCACCAAAATGAAAAGCAGCATTTCTGGCTTTTAGTAAAAGGCACACTTCTCTATTTAGCCAAGGCTTGTTATTGGAAAACACTCATACTTGTCTGGTGGTAGTAACAACATCGATACAGCTTTTGATGTAAAACAGTGCTGTTGAGGTATAAGTATCAACATTGTCCCCCTCAAACAGTGCCCATGCAGTGCTCCTAAAGCAGTCTTGAAGTTGCTCAGATGCACCCACTGGCCACATTAATGTCAGAGTACTGTAGAAAGAGAGAAAGCATCTTTGTTTTATGTGCTTTTGTCTAACTTACGATCTTTTGCACCAGGGACAGTTTCTCTAGAGTGCAATAAGTTTCCTGAACAACACATTGTATATGTCCTACTATTATACATTTTTCTCCTTTTCTCTCTTTTTATAATTAGTATTAATAACTAATATCAACAAGCCTGTGGAAGAGTTTGTTGAACTTTTATCTTACTGAATGTTAGGTTATTTCCACTGAACCCTTTAAAATAAAATAAGAGACTTTTCAGTTGATCTCCTTTGATCAGTGAAATAGATGCTGTTCAAATTTGGAAGTTTGCTTTTGCTTCTTGTTATAGGAAACTAGTGCTGTAATGTTCAGCATAAAAACGAGTAGTGTTTCCAGTTGTTCAAAAACAGTGAATAATGTTTTCAATACCAATAAATATATTAGCAAAACTAATACAAGTTTTTATGTAAAGTGCATTTTATATTGAATCATATGCACATGATCCTGCATGAACAAGATAAAATATTGTTTTATAAAGGCAGTTATAGAATTTCAGTATAGTAGAAAACGTAACCAGTGCCCACAATTCTAAAGAGACATGTAATAATTCAAAAACTGAAGAGATGTATGGTAGTTGATGATAGAGCAGCATTAATACGTTTGTTCTGTGCTTGCCATACAGAGGAAGTCTCAGTAGTTGGTTTTATGGTGTCCAGAGTACCATGGCACATAATCCTATTCTTTCTGCTATCAATTCTGTAGCTAAAAGGAGTAATCACTCTTTTTTTCATGAGCAGGTTTTTATGAAAATATATCTCATGGTGGTAGCCATTTAATGCATCTTTTCCCTTCTGTTGGTGCTGACACAATATCCTGAAAGTCTTACCATGCCAATTCCAATTCCACATCACTGGTTGAAATGCTGTTGTCACTGAACCTGAATATACATTACTGGCAGAGATGTGTATAAACTACAGTTGTAATAGTTACTAGGATGTTTTAAATCTGATATCTGTCTCGTTGGAATTTGAAATCTCCAGATTGAGATTTGGGAGAAATTTTGAGTTATTTTGTTATTTCTGCATCTGTGAACAGTATTAAATTTTGGTACTTGGTTTGGCTACATCTTTCCCTTCCCACCCCACCCCACCAGTACATTTTTTAGTATTCAGACATCTTTCTTTTACAATCAACTACAAGCAGGTCTAGAACTGCATTCAATCTTATAATGCCATCTCCACAGCAGGAATGAGTGATACATCTGCCCACCAAGAACATAAATTTTAAGGGGGAAATCATACAATTTTATTTTTTACTATCAGCATGTTTATAGTGATCCTGTGCTGTATTCCTGTTGCCTCTGATCCAACAGATCAGCTGCTTAATTTTTCACCTCTCTTTTGATAGGCACACTGTGCTAATGTATGGCAAGTTTATTCCTTTCTGACTTCTGACTTCTCCTGTGTCTGTCAAGCAGATAGAGATCACCAGCCGCAGAATGATTAGGTAGTTGTAAAATCCTCCTCTAAAGTGGTATTCCATTCTTTTACAGAAGAGTGAGGGGAACAGAAGTGTCATCAACCAAAATACCAACCACCCTATGGACCAGTCTTCTGCCACATAAATTGATTGCGTTTTGACATTTGACACAGGAAGCCCTAAAACTGGTAAGTGTCTTCAAAGCATGAAGGAGAAAAAATATTAAAATCTAAAGACTTCTGATGGAAATTCCACTTCAAAATCACATACAAAGTTTGTAGGGATTCTGATGAGTAAGCAGAATCGTGTGGCTTTGTGGACGATAACACATATGCTATCTTTGTATTCCATGGGGATTTCAGACTGTCTGTGGCAGCAGCTGAGAGTGTCCCTTTGAAAGTAGCATGGATTTCTGTTTGCATGACAAACGCTGTAAAAGAGAAACTAGACATGTGAAAAGTTATCAAAGAGAAGCAGTCCATGTAGGTGTGTGGATAATAGAAACAAAATTCTGGACAGTGTTTCTTTCATGCTAATTTTCTACATGGAAAAACTTTTTTTCCTGAAAAACAAAGTGCTGCCTGTTTTGGAAATGATATTTATTATTTATATGTAATTATTTAAGACATTTATATTCCACCATATATTCTATTATTTCAGTGTGGAATATGACAATAAAATCAGATCCATATTGAAAACCACTGATGTATAGGCAGGCTTTCCCAACAGATAATCCCTGACGATTTTTCTTTTATATTCTTTGATTTCTATTTCTGTCTATTTGTAATGTTTTTAATAATTTTATTCTTGCTCCGATTGTAAGCCGCCTAGAGTGGTCTAGTATGACCAGATAGGCGGGATATAAAATAAATAANAAACTAACAACTGTCAAATAGTCCCCATAATCTGATTAACGCGATGAGCCTTATTGACCTGATTCTGCTTGATTTCAGTGTTTTCTACACATCTCCTTGGCAGCTTTCGTTGTTGAAATCACTGAAGTCATTCACCTAGAAGCAAATAATTATCTAGGAGGAGTGTGTTGCATGAATTTACATGGGGGAAAGGTCTTTATCTAGGAGGAGTGTGCTGCATGAATTCACATGGGGGAGAGGTCTTAAAGCTTGCCATCTGAATTTTCTCTGCATCCCCTTATCCTTCGGTCTCCAAGCAGTTCCAGCAGTGGCAGCAGCAGGAGAGGGATGTTAGAGGATGCTGCATGAGGAGCATGCCAGAACATGAGATCTCAGTGCACGAACTTCTACCTATCCCCTCTCCAGATTGGGGCAACGGCCCTGCTTTTATCTGTTTCTGACTGAACCTGATTCAGCTCCTTGCCTGCTTCTGCAGTTTTTCTGTCAAGTGCTCTTGTGCACTAGTGTTCTGTCCTGATTTCTTTCTCCTTTTAATGGTCTTAGGTTACTCAGAGAGCAGACTTATCATGGGGGTTGTGATGCACTGGACCCCCTAAAGGGCTGCTTGCATTCGGTCAGAGAGTTCAACAGGCCACCTACCTACCACCTTTGCACTGGCGCAAGTCCCAAGACCTCAGCAGTGCTTAGCGTAAGCCCTTTGAACAAGTCTGACCTTAAAAGAACATTTTACTCTTAACCAGTCCTTTGCAAGTACAGTACAACACATGGGCTTTGTGATTCCTTAGAACTCACAACAGCTCAGTTAGGTAGGACTCTTAAAAGATAGCTAGTTTGTGGTCCTCTCCACCTCCTGAATTTAGCCAGGCCCCTGCTGTTCAAGAGACTAGTCCTTTTGTAGAATTTTTATGATTAATTTTTATTAGAAGAATAGAGTTTCATTAGAATCAGTTTATATTGCACAAGCATTAGCATTAAGAACTTATTCAAAGATCATTGCAGTTAAATAAAGTAACTATTTCCCATTTAAAATAATAAACACTAATTAAGCTAAATACCCACCGTCCATTTTCTACCTTCCCAAACTCCTCCCTTCTTCTTGGCCTTTCTGGCTGTTAACCAAGTAGCCTTGAGAGGCTGTACCACCTTCCTCCTCCTCTTATTCCCATGAGAGTCCAGATGTTGTTTATCTCTTTTCCAACTAGTTTGGAATGTTGAGTCTTCCATGCGCCTCTCAATTTGGCCTTCATCGCTATCTCAAACCAGACTGGAATGGTCCTCAGGAAAACACTCTCATGGCACTTAGAAAAACACATTCCAATGTCTCTCAAATCATATTCACACAGAACCTGTCTGACTCCACTTTACATTTCTCTGACTACGTATCCCATCATCATGACAGGGATACATGCCACTTGAACTGTTTGTGCCCTCTGTTCTTGGGGGGGGGCAACATGACAATTTCCAACAAAATCATCTAGGAAAAATATTACTTTTCCATTCAGCCACCATCTCTCATGGGCCTCCACTCTTATGGCTAGAAGGGGAGGAGTAGCAATGTTAATATTTTTTGAATTTTATTTTTCCAAGGTGACATAACACTTACCGGGTACCTGTATCAGAGCTAACATGAAAGCATTTTTTAAAAAAGAAACATTGTTTTGGAATCAACAGGCATCTGTTGAGGGCAACTGACACACCAGTGAGTGCCACTTTGCATAGGATCAGATAATCACAAAGGGCGAAAAGCAAAGAAAAACAGTGCCAGCCAAATTGGAGTGAAATAAACTACCCCTGCGAGTTGAACTAAAAAAATGATTCCCTACTGAAATGAGAGGATTTCTCATTAGGCTTCACAGTTTTTAACTTTATGTTGTGTAGTCAGTAATTTTTATTTCAATTTTGTCTATGCCAAATCTGATGCAAACTGTTGGGTAAATGGCCAGTGTAACCTCGGTTCCATGTATGATTCATTTTATAATTTTTTACTTAAAGCTGTGCTCTGTTAACTAAAGAAAATAGGAACTATATTAGATACTGTATTTGGTTATCATAATAGATATTATAACTATTTTAAAAGGTATTTAATGGCAATTTATTGTTAAAAACTTCTTTTAAATAAGGGCTTCGAGATCTTCGTAATAGTTTTGTTTGCTATGGTTTCTGACCACTGTGCTCCCAGCTGAACAGCCCAACCACTCAAACTCTGAAACTTTATTTCACTGAAGGACCATCACCTCTCAAGCCTGAAAGCCATTGTTACACTCTAAATGTTCATGTTAATCCTACCAGAATTGATTTGAGTTCTTTATACATTATTTTGCTGTTTTTGCATGTTTCAGCCGTATAATTCCTGCTATATATGTGATTATTCCTAAAAACCTACAAGCTACTCACAATTTTATGCTTGTATCCTGCTGTTAGATGACCTGTGCTTCCGAAGGATGCAAAAGCTTGACTTTCAGTTTTAAAGACCTTTGCAATTACATGGATTATTTGCTTTTCTGTTTTTTGGCATCTATATTTGGCATCATGAAATCTGGCAGGTCCTGCTGTCTGCTTAAAGTTGTCTTACGATAGCTTTTGTTCAACATGTGTTTCTGTATGGATCATGCAACATGTAGGAGAAATCATGGTTTCTATAAGGTAGGCTGGAGCCCTAGCCACACCTATAATGGGACAAAATATATGGAATTCACAGAAACATATTCCTGAGTAAATCTTCTCTGGTTTGTTAGATATATTTTATCTCTGCTGTGTAGTTTGCCTATAGAAGCAGTGTACAGAGTATTTATTTGTAAGTTAAATGAGCAATTATAATATAACAGTATAATAACTCCTTAACTGTGGTTAATCTGGGGAAGCTGAAAGAGGCTGTTAGACAGGTTCCAAGGTGATTGTTTTGGGGATGCCCTAGAGAGTACAGGTTGTGGTAAAGGTGGGGATCTTGCTAATGTGGGAAACAGTTCTTTAGCAACCCAGTTCTCAGGTGATTGGCATTCTCTCTGCAGACTGAAATATAAATTGTCATGTTTGCTTTCCAGAAAATGTTAGATCCCCCCCCCCCGTGAAACCAAATAAGTTTGGCTTTTATATGTCGGATGCAATTTTTTAGTGTTCCAACAGCCTGCAAATACAGTGGTGCCTTGCATTATGAGCACTCCATTTGACAATGAAATCGCATCGCGACGAAGATTTTGCAGTCGCAAAAGCGATCTCAAAACGATGTTCCCTACGGGGGAATTTCGCTTTGGGGCATCTATAGTTTCACTGTCATTGCCTGTATAGTTACTTTTACCACTTTTTACATTGAAACAAGTTAACATCCATTTGTTGTTGATTGATGTAGAAATGGGGAAAAATCCCTGGAAAAGTTGAGTGCTGAACAATATCCCACAGCACTGCTTATTATGAGAGATTTGCTAATAGGTAGTTGTTTTTATTTGAAGGACTGTTTTATTTGAGGGACTGTGTTCACTATTTGATTGATTGCTTGCTTTGTCCAAATGTTGTAGATGTTTCAAGATATATAGTGCTGGGAAGAAATCAGTTATTGGTAGGAAATGTCAAAAAAGATCCTGAAATTCTACCAAATCATATTTAGATTTCAAAATAAAATATTGGTGCCCAGAGCTCCGGAATTAGTAGTTTTGAAAGCTCAGGAAACTCCATACATGAAATACAATAAGAAATTCATAATTTTGGTATATATTGTGGTACATTTTGGGGCAAAGAATAACAATTTCTACATATATAAACAGATGCTGCACAGACATAAATGTGGTTTTAAAATGTACTTTTAGGAAACACTGCATTTAAAAAAGCAGAAAGGACCCTTGCTATCACCATTTAATCCTTCTTAGCACTGGCTTTTTTGGGGGGGGCTGATAGGGATGACAAATATTTATATTCTCATATAATACATCATTTCATTCTCAGACATAGACTTCATTCAAACGTCAGTGGAATCAGACAAAAGCAGGGCTTGAATATTCACTGGGCTTTCACAGAGCTATTCATGTTCTTTGAAAGAGGAGACATTTTCAGTAATGTCTAAAATCCGTGGATTTCCACTAAAGTCAAGGGACCATTAAGTGGCTACATGAGTTTTCATCATCTCATTTCATAAACAAGATAAAAACTTTTGTTGATGATATTTTGCACAAAACACAAAGGCAGTCTTGTTCTTTTCCTACCATGGACTGGGTAGTCATCATGGTTATTCTGATTGTGAATTGATATATCTAGACTAGGCTTGTCCAACCTGTGGCCCGAGGGCCGCATGCGGCCTAGGTCAGCTCATAATGCGGCCCAGT